GCAGGGCTCCATACTCCGGGACGAGGCAGGAAAGCAGAAACATCTGAACGTCACGTGAGGTAAATATGCGCTACGTCAGAATTTATTCGGCAAACGTGTTTCCATCTCCCGTTTTGTGCATTAACTACTTTGCGAATCATCCAAAAACCACCTCAAGCGAGCGTAAAAACTTTTTAGCGTACTGAGGATTTATTTTCGAATTTTGCTGTTTTCATCTGACTTTTTTTTTCCACATTTTTAATGCAACACTTCTAAATGCGCATCAAAAAGCCTTGATGGAACCACGGTCAGAGAGATGAAGAAGAGTTAAAGTTGTTTTAATGAACAAAGACCAGAGATTTTATTTTATTAATGTGTTCCCCTTTGACGCCACMTCCTTTACTTTGGCTGAACCAAAATCTGAAGAAAATAGGTCAGTTTATGAAATAAAATTCAAATTTAATTAACCGTTTTCCATGGAGCAGCAGGAGGAGAGWTATGTGGGATTAACTGGGTTTAAAAAGTATCCACCCCCTTTAATAACCATTCACACTYTTGTTTTAATGTTTACAACAGATTATCTGATGACAAACTGCTGCAGCATCCTCTGTGTTCTTCAGCTTCAGGTCTCTTCTGGTCCGTCTCCAGGATGCTGGTCCATCTATCATGGACTTCCTGTCCGTTCTTCAAGTCCAGCTTTAGCTCCAGAAGCTCCATCAGGATGTTAAATACAACCCACTGTGAGGATCAGACCCACCCATCTACACTCACGCCGTGGAAATGACCATTCATAAACAGCCAATCAGGAAGCTCAGGCAGCCATGACATGACCCGGATTAACTCTGCTCCTCTGAGCCGACACACACAAACACACACCTGGAGTGTGTGCGCTCGTTTCAGCCGCTCAACTTAAACCTTTCAATCTGTAATCCATTTAGAGGAGAATAAACCGCGTTGGGTGTAAAAATAAACTGTTGATCTCTGCAGAGAAACGTGTTCCTCTGGTGGAAAATCTGTTCAACGTTTAGCAACGACGGCCAACGTTTCACAGTCAGAAAAGAAAAGAAAACAAAAAGACGCAGCTGACCCTGTGAGGCGACGACAAACAGCCTCTAATGATGTTTGTGTTGCAGCGTCTGGACGATGTTTCAGCCACAAGCAGAGGCTGAAAGGAATGGTTTCAATTTCTAACAGCAGCTATTTACCACACACCTTATCATGTAGGCTCACACACACACACACACACACACACACACACACACACACACACACACACAC